CTGGAATAGTAAGTTCAATCCTGACACTTCCTTCATACCATTATTTGAATAACATTTCTGCAATGCATTTTGACAAATCAAATGTATGCAAAGAACACTTAGACAATTAACAGTAATTGTAGGATCTATTCTTCTTTAACTTCAGCTGCGAGTCACTGAGATTCAATTTCAGTATAAATCATTAGAGAACGAAGAAGCTATTTCAATCAATTATCTTAAACATTTACAAAGCAACATCAACGATCTAAAACATTTTATTGAATTTCATAAGATTAAGGCTACGTAAGACGAATTAGTATTTAGTAATGACTATTTTGACAACGAATCTCAATAAATCTGAAGGAATCTAGCACTGACCATATCACTGAAGAATAAAACCTACTAACTGTCTGACAATATATAACTGCTCATAAGGAACTTGAGGATCATAAAATCTCATTTATTACCCATTTAAATCAATTCTGCCTACAGTGTCACCCAGATTACAAAACTCAATCAGAAAAACTACCATCTTTTGATAATTTTTAGTTTCTGTGTATTGCATCTAAATATAACGCTGTATTATATATTACTTTTACTATAGCATATTTTATAAGGACCCAAGAAAGTGAGGCTAGTTTTTTGGAAAGAGATCGCTTATTAAAATATTTGTTGAGAAAAATTATTACTACAATTAGATATAGGGTAACATACTAAAGGAATCCTTTGATAGCATTACTGATAAATTATATCAAATTTGGGTAAAAACAAAACAGTTTCAATCGTGAGAAATTGAAAGTATTAGCAGTATCGACTCAATTATAAATAGCAATTGTAGTGATACCTCAGAAAATATAAAAAGAGATCAAAATGATACTATCATAGCATCTTTTCAAAAAAGTAATGAAAGCTTTCCAGGGATAACACTACCAGTAGCAATGAATGGACTACCATTAAGAACTACCACACCCATACCTCAACTACTATCTAACATACCATCTTATGTACAATCATAACAACCATATCTGAAAGATAGGAGGCAATATGATGAAGAAGAAAATGACACATATGCTTCTGATTATGAACAAAATATCCTATTTAGATATATCAATGATAATAATGAAACATTACAGGAAACGTTTTTTTTTGATAATGCAAATGAACTAGAGAGAGGAGAAATCCAAGTAGAATACCTCAGAGAGTTACATTTAATACAAGTAATGATAGGAGGTCTATATCCCTATTAGGGTAGAAAATATTCAATAATTAGTAGCCTCAACATTATCCAGTAATCAATCGTCAAGGCCATCAAATTTAAGGGTAACAATTCTATCAGTAAGAAATACAAATAGTGGATCATCATTGGGAAATCCTTACAATTTTTCCTAAGTAATTCAATATAGTCATATATTTGACCCCTTAGTATCACTTGATCCTTTTCAAAATAGCAACCCATTTACAACCTCTAGTTTCACAACCACAAATTGACAATCAGTAAATAACCATTAGCTTGAAAGTAACTCAAGTAGTAAAGGAAATACAGTCCCCGGCGAAAAGAATGGTGGTGCAAACTTTTACTATATAATTAACTTTTTTTTGAAAGGATTTGGATAAACAATTAGATGATATTTTATTGCATTACTAGTTTGAATGTTATGTGTATTTGTTTGAAGTTCGCAATGCATATTATAATATGAATAAAATTTTTGCGATTGTAAAACAAGGTCAAATTTGAGTGTTTGATCATTAAAATTAAAATTGCAAAAATTTTACTATGTTAACGAGCTTCACCCACTAATAAAAATTGTTCAGCTAAAAACTTTACAATAGAAACAATATATTTTAACTAAAAAGGTAGGAAATAGAAAGCATAAAGTTAAATTAATATGAAGAAAGGCTAACTTCCTAATTTTTTAGTATTTTAACTTGTATTTAAATCCAGATTGACAGAGAAGGAGAATACTTTTTATATTTTAATTATTTGAGTGTATAATTCCTTAATCAAAAGCATTTGAGAATAAAAAAATTTTTAAAAGTTATTTATTAAAAACTTTTATTATTCAAAAAAAACTTTCCGCCATTCTTTTCGTCGGGACTGTAATACAATGGGACATCAAAATTTAACTATCAAAGGAATCTCACAGTCAACAACAGTAGCCTAAACATATAATATGCGATCACCATTGAACTCCTGAAGGAGTAGTTCTCAATCAACTAGTACAATAACTTCTCAGTTAGTACTTAGCAATCAACTGTCAAATAATACAAATACCTCTCAGCCAATACTTATATCTTAACCAGTTATAGTACCAGTAGGAGAAAACAATGACAATGCTTACTTTTAAGTCATACAAGGACTAGCAGGATGGCTTTAAGGACAACAAATGAGAGAACAACAATTGGTAGATTTACCAACATTTAGAGGAGGAAATCAGGATCTAGTGGAGTGACTTGAGGCTTTCGAACGAGCTTGTAAAGCAAACTGTATCAATATCACTCGAATGGTTAAAATAGTCTCCAGTTATTTAACAGGAACAGCATTGACATAGTTTTAACAACAATATGTTACCAACTGGAATAGTAAGTTCAATCCTGACACTTCCTTCATACCATTATTTGAATAACATTTCTGCAATGCATTTTGACAAAATCAATGGAAGCATTAGCTTAAACATAGGAAGAAGAAATCAGATGAAACAATTGAAGAATATGTGGCAGCAATAGGAGAATTATGGAAGCAAATCGACCCACGGTATAGGCGAGTTGAGATGGATAGAATTGCTAAATTTATTGAAGGGCTGTGACCAGAATTTATAGTACCAGTGCAAACAGCAATGCCAACAATAGTAGATCAAGCAATTGAAAAGGCCAGAGCAGTAGAATCTATATATTCTATTAGAATGGAACTATCTATTATTCGTTAATACCTAATTACATGCAATTATTATAAGGAGGAATGGTACCAGCTCGCACAAGTATAGCAATACAACTTATATATATTACACAGCAGCCAGATATTGAAGGCACTATTAATCGCAAACTAAATAAAAGGTTATAAGCAATTATGATAAACATTGGGCAACAACAACAACAACAACAACAACAGCAACAATAGTCACAACAACAGCCACACGAATATTTTAATTGTGGAAAATTTAAACACTTGTCTAGAGATTGTAAAAGTAATCAACGTATGAATAATAACCAATCAAATATTGAATGCTTTAACTGTGAGAAGTATGGCCATTTCGCCAGGGATTACAGGAGTATAAACAATAATAGAGGTTGAAACTTTCAAAATCATAATAATAACAATAGAAATCATAACCACAGTAATAGTAGGAATAGGAATCATAGAAATAATAATAATAATAATAACTACAATAATAACAGAATAATAATAATAATAACCAACAGCATTTAAATTAGAAGTCGCACCTTTTAGAAGTGAGTGTGCGAACAAACTAAAGCCCCTAAAAGCGAAAGAAGAGGAAGAAATAAAAGAGAATAATCAAGGTGAAGCAAGTACCTTATGTATGTAGAGGAATGAATTCAAAAATGTGATTTAGAGGACCATATGAAAACAAATATGATCACTCCAGTTGTAGAGAATATGACCACCACAGTCATATTGTATGTACAAATTGTAATAAGATCGCTAAAAAAATAGTAGCACAATGCGAATGTAAGGAAGTAAAATGGAAGGATCTACTAACTGATGAAAGTATTTTCAGTAAAAATCAACCAATTAAACCAATAGATCTCTAACAACAAGGAGAAGTCACTGTTAAAAGAGGCTGAAGTATATGTTAGGGATTTTATATGATGACAAAGGAATCTATCTTTCAAATCGAATTGACCTAAATAAGAAAATGTATAACTTATGGCAAATAGTCAGTGAGAAAGTTGAACTAAGGAAATCATCGATAAGGATTATGATTCGAGAAATTGATGAAGAAACTGGAATACAATTAGATGAAGATCACTTGAAATACATTTTAAATGATTCTACATATAATTGTGACGCATATAAAGTAAAGCTAAACAAAGAAATACCTTAACATACTGAACCTACCAAACATAGCAAATGGCAACATTTTGAGTTTGATGAATATTTACAAATGGCTGGTCTAAATGAACTAACACTAACGTATAATAAATATAGAGAATTTTTCATATCTAAATTAAAGGAACACATTATTACTAGTAATACAGCATGTGATGAACCTATCAAAAATGCATTGTTTATTGAAGTCCAAGTAAAAGGATACTCTGTAAATGATCTAGTAGATACTAGATCTGTAGAAAGTATCGTTACTCAGTAGTATCTTAAGCAAATCAATAAGGAAATTGATGAACCTGCAAAAATAAAAATTATGGGAGTGGATGGAAAAACTATGATATCTTTAAGAACAATTAAAGGAGTTACAGTAGAATAACTGTTAACAAAGATATGCTAGTAACTAATGCTATAGGATATAATATTATCTTAGGAAACACCTGGTTGCAAAAAGTTTATGCAATCATTGACTATGATACTGGTATTCTAGTTGTATAACAAGGAAATCAAACTTCTATAATGCTTATAACTTGTTCGCAAGACATACGTCTAGGAAGATTTTCACCAATCAAGCCTAAAATAACAGTAGATAAATTAGAATTTGAAGAGAAGAAAGATATCGATATTCAACAATATTTTGCTATTGTTCTCAAAGAAAAAGAGGATGTGATATAAATAAATGGAAAGGAATATCCTAAAATATACTTATAATAAATTGAATATGAAATAAATATATAATAAAATAGAAATTAAACAGAATCAACTACATATTGGTGTTTGAAAAATTTAGGAAATGAAGGCCAATGTGATGACTGTAGAGAAATTGTAAGGATAGTACAAACTTATCAATACTATAGGAATAATATGAATCTACAAGCTGCTTATAAAGTTCAGATTGAAGAGAATAATATTCGAGTAGAAATTGGTAATGATTCAGGAAAATATATAACCTGTGAAAAATTAACAGATGCTTTTTTAAAACAACTAAAAGCATTTCTTGAGAAAAATCTTAATAGTTTTGCAATCACAACACAGGAATTAACACATTCAGAGCAATATGAATATTGTATATTTACTAAAAATGTACTACCAGTTGCATTAAAATTATATCAAACGTCAGTAAAAGATGATCAGTATATTCAGCAGGAAATTCAAAATATGTTAGATCAAGGAATTATACGACTTTCTCAAAGTCAATGGAGCTCACCCATAGTTCTTATAAGGAAAAAGAATGGAAAAATGAGATTCTACATAGACTATAGAAAATTAAATGATGTAACAATAAAGGACCGATATCTCTTATCAAGGATTGATGAATTATTAGAATCCTTGGGAGGAGCAACATGGTATACTATCTTAGACTTGACTTCAGGATACTGGCAGTTTAAAGTCAGAAAACAGGACAAACCCAAAATAGCATTTATTACAAAACATGAGTTATATGAATTCAATGTAATACCATTCAGGTTGTGCAATGTACCAGCCACCTTTCAACGAGCTATAGATGATATATTATGAAAAATAAAAGAAAAATTTGTATTAGTATATCTTGATGATATCATCATATTTTCTAAAAGTTATGACGAACATTTATAATATCTTCAACAGGTTTTCAATTTATTAAAAGAAGCTCAATTAAAAATAAATCCAGAAAAATACCATTTCTGCAAAAATAAAATTCAATTTTTGGGACATGTAATATCAAGATAAAGGATACAACCTAATCCAGCAAAAATTGAAAAGATAAACAACCTCAATTCTCTATTCAATGTTAAATAATTACGAACTGTATTAGGATTATTCTCTTATTACTGACATTTTGTTAAAAATTATTCTAAATTAGTAGCCCCATTAAACGATTTGCTGAAAAAGAATGTGTTTTACAATTGGACAAAACAATATCAAGAGATTTTTGAAATACTTAAGGAAAAATTAATGACTGCATCAATCTTATCC